AGGGGCTTCCATGGGGGCTCCTGGCACCAGGACCGGGTTGCACTCACCAGCTGGGACATGAGGGTGACGGTGGCCTTAAGGGTGGGGGCATTCAATGGGTAATCACCCAGGACCCCTCGGCTTATCCTAAGTAAGCACTGCGGGTTTTTCCTGTTATCATTACTGGCCCTGTTCTTCTGGCTGACCCACAAGCTCCCAAGGGCAGGGACCCCTCCCCTGACCCCTCCTGGGGAATGTAGAGGTGGAAGATACGTGAAGGCATGGCCGAAGGCTGTCCTGGGAGGGGAGCAAGTGACTTTAAGGTGCCTGGAAATGGAATTGCAGACTAGAGTACTAGGATGGAGGAGAAATTCCAGAGTGGGGGCTTCAGGAGGTGGACTGTCTAGGACCAGGAATGGGAGCATGCAGGGTGCTGGGGTGATGACCCCGACCCCAGCACTGAAGGGGAGTGAAGGCAGGGCAAGGAGCAGGGTTGTCTCTGGTACCCAAGGCCCCTCCGTGCCCAAAGGAGCAACACCAGGGCGCTATGGAGGGCAGGGCTAACAGGACAGAGGCAGGCGCTGCAGGGTCTGTGAGAGGAGAGGGCGGGTGGGCTGAGGACCCCACCCTGGCAGCCCCTGCCCTAGGGGAGCTCGAGGCAGCAGGAGGGCCATGAGCCTAGGTGGGGAGAAGGCTGCTAGGGTGGAAGGTGAGCAGGCACTCTGGGGTCTCTGGTCCAACAGGTGCGATCACAGGACGATGAGTTTTCTACCAAGGGGGACGAGGAGAGATCTCTGAATCAATGGAAGACAGGGGCCCTTTGACAGTGGGTGGCCAGGATGCTAATGCCCTCTCTGGTCTGCCCAAGCTCTTTGGCCCTTCAGCTCTGCCTGGCATGGAGACCGGCCTTGGCCACCGGGATGCCTGGGACATGGCAGGCATGGCAGCCCCCGGCGGGGTGCTGTGAACAATACATCTGGGGACAGAAGCAGGCTTGTGGACTGTGCACTGTCACTGGGCAGGCCCCAAGGCATCTGAAGCAGGAAGTCCCCTACGGACCCCTGGGCACCAGCATCCAACAGAGCCAGTGTCCACTGTCCAGGACCCAGGCACCACTGGACACCATGAACGAGGGTCCACTAATGAGGCCTGGCCCAGAGAGCCCCCGCGTTGCCCTCCCATGCTGAGGTGCAGGGGGACACTCTCTGAGCTAAAGGGTTATCCTCCAGAGCAGGGGGCTGCAAGCAGCTGGGGCCAAGCCCCTCCTGGTCCTTTGGCCTAACCCTGAGAAAGATTGGGGTTCAGTAGAACAAAAAGGGCCCCAGCCACCATGGGGAGAGGACCCCAGGACCATTTTCCCTGACGGCCAGCTCTGGACTGTCCATCAGGGTGTCCAGGTCAACAGAGGCCCAAAGCGTGGGGCTGTGTGGCCTCCTGTGTGGGGAGAGGGTGCCTGAGGCAGAGGGCAGGCCCCCAGGGTCTGGCGAGAGTCGGGCCTAACTGATCAGCTCCAGCTGGCGTTTGGCTGGATAGATAGGGATGCAGATTCTGCCTTCCTCCTGGAAGGATTCAGGCCAAGCAGGCCTCAGCATCTTTAATTCACACTCCAGGGGGCAGGGCAGCCACCTGCCAGGGCTGCTGGGGAGATGGACCCGGGAGAGAGCCATGGCCAGAGCAGGAGGAGCCACCCACAGTAGGTGGCTCAGGCTGCAGGCAGGAGGACTTGGGAAGGGAAGGACAGGTTGTCTCAGGACAGGCCTGCAGCAGGAGCTGGGAGCTGGGGTGCCCACCCTCTCACACCCAGCCTGCTCTGCCTGCCCCTTAACCGCATTCCTAAGCTCCACACCCATGGCCAGGCAGCGGGCAGTGTGGAGGCTGAGGAGAGAGGAGTGCGGCAGCCGTGGAAGCCCAGCCAGGGGCTCTCCTCACCCACACGGCTCATCCTGGCCTTCCCCAGCGAGATCAAGATCACAAAGGCAGCCCCCGCCCTCCTCTGGGGTTCACCTGGACCCGAACCCAGCCCTGCACCCAGGAAGAAAGCTCAGCCCGGCTGGCTGGCGTCCCTGCCCCTCCCTCCTGCGGGCTCAGACAGCACTGCTGCCAGCCTGAGGTGGCCATGATAAAAAATGAAGAGAAAGAGGTGAAACTAATTTGAATCATATATTTAACCCAAGGCCTGGAGGCCACGGGTACGGGGCAGCCGCAGAGGCAGCTCCTCACTCAGCTCCTTGCCAGCCCTGAGGCTCAGTCACTATTTTTGATAGGATAAGCATGGAGTTGGCCCTGGGCTCCGGAAGCCCGGCTGCTGGAAGAGGGGGTGGCCGACGCTGCCGCTGGCTCCCCCAAGTGACCTAGATGGAAGGGCACCTCCTTTGCCTTTCTGCCACAGGATGCCTCGGGCCTCACAGGCCTCCCAGCTGTCCTGGGGCCTGGGCGGCCTAGCAGGACCTACTCCAGAGTGCAGGGCCTCCGGGTCACCAGGCCACCTGCTCAAGAGGGGAGGAAGCTGGCCGGGGATGCCCGGGCTCCTCAGCGCACCAGGGACACCCTGTACTTGGCCCTCCCCAGAGAGATCGAGATCACCAAATGCAGCCCCCACCCTCATCTGGGGTTCACCTGGACCCGAACCCAGCCCTGCACCCAGGAAGAAAGCTCAGCCCGGCTGGCTGGTGTCCCTGCCCCTCCCTCCTGCGGGCTCGGACAGCACCGCTGCCAGCTGAGGTGGCCATGATAAAAAATGAAGAGAAAGAGGTGAAACTAATTTGAATCATATATTTTATTTAACCCAATATATCCACCCAATATATCCCAATATTTAATCCAACATTTCCCCACGCAGGAAGCATTCCAGCCTCTGGCTGAGTGCTATCAGGATGCTGTCAGGGCTGGAGTGGGGTCTGAGGGGGAAGAATGTCCTGGAGCCCACCTGGTGGGGTGAGGCCCCTCTTTAGAGCCCCTCTCTGCAGACCACACCTCCGGCCCTCAGAGCCCTCCCACCTGCAGCCTGCCCTGCCTGCCCCTTAACCGCATTCTTAAGCTCCACACCCACGGCCAGGCAGCGGCGGGCAGTGTGGGGGCTGAGGAGGGAGGAGTGCGGCAGCCTCGGAAGCCCAGCCAGAGGCTCTCCTCGCCACCCACACAGCTCATTAGGACTCCAGGCACGGAGCTCCCGGTGGGGGCAGGAGGCCAGTGGCAGGCGGGGGCTGCTGTCAGCGTGAGGATACGCTGCTCCCGGCTGCGGCTGTGGCCTAGCGCCAACTCCACTCGGTCCCTGCCCCCACCCTCTCTCCCCTTTGCTTACCTGCAGGTGGCTTTGGTGACTTGAGAATGGCCCAAGTGCTGCCATTGCAGAGATGGGGAAACTGAGGTGAGAGGAGGGAAAGCCGAGGGCTCTGCAGGGACCTGTACCCAGCATCTGCGGGGAGCCAGTCCCTGGTGTCACTGTATGAATCTGACCACGCCATGGGCGGTAGCTCTGACCTCCCCGTTTCACTGTGGGGAGGCGGAGGCCCGGCATGGGGAGGATGTGTGGCCAGCTCCGTCCCGCAGAGGTCAAAGGGGAGGTCAAAGGGGAGACAGCAGGGACAGAGCCCAGGCCATTGTGATGGAGGCAACCTGGCCAAAGATTACAGGGGTTGGGGCCCACAGCAGTGACAGCAGGGGGTGGTAGTGACAGGGCTGTGCCCTGAGTGGGGACACTGGATGCAGGGCAGGGATGGGTGTCTGACAGCTCTCCCTCCTCTGGACCCCGCGATTCCAACCACAAGACTTCAAGGACCCTTCACAAACACCCCCCTCTCCCTGCCAACAAACCTGCTCCCCTGCCCAGGCCTGAGACCCGTCTATCAAGGATGCTGCAAGGACCTCAGCCCGGTTCCCATAGCAACACCCGGATGGTGGGGGAGGGGAGAAGAATGGAAATGCAGAGACACCAAATAAAGAACAACAACCTCACAAAATGAGCAGTCAGGGAAAGGGCCACGGAGGGATGGCCCCGGCCCAGGCTGAGGAGGCCCCAGCAGGCACAGCCCCCATCACCAGTCATGTAAACAGCACTGGCAGGTGCCAGCCACTGCACAGGGCCTGAGACACAGAAGCCAAGGAGGCAGCCCCCAAGGCTGGTACACAGGGGCCTGGGCAAGGCTGCCAGACTCCAACAGGGAGTCCTCGGTTAGTCCCCTAGGTCTCAGCTCTAGAGCGGGGAGCAGACAGGCAACCCTGCCCACCTAGCACTGACCTGCCCCTCTCCGTGACCGTCCCACGGGAGGGGCTGATCGCGTGAGACCTTATGTGACCCATGTGTCAGCCCTACATCAGCCCCAGGGGGAGGCGCCCTCATCTTCCAGTTTCACCAGTGAGGCGGCTGAGGCTCCGAGAGGCCACACAGTCGGGTGAAGGGGAAGGCCGCAGCCAGGCGGGCCCGGGAGTCTGCACCATGCAGGGATGCTGGACAGGCGAGTCTGGCACGGATCAGGCAGCGTGGAGGCTGTGCTGGTCCCCTACTGCCACCGAGCAAGCAACCACAAATGCAGGGGCTCAGACAGCACGCCTTTCTCGCCTCACGGCTCTGGGGGTCAGGAGCCCAGCCCTGGGGCTCACTGGGCTAAAATCGAGACGTCTGCAACCTACGTTCCCCTGGGAGGTTTGAGGGGAGCGTCCTCTTGCAGCCACAGCAGGTCCAGTCGTGGTCGCCTAGCAGCACCCGGCCTGCTTCATGCCCACACCCTGTCTGACTCGCCTCCCTCCTCACGGATCCTTCGGTCACCCTGGGCCACACAGATGATCCAGGACAACCTCCACATGTCAAGGTCCGCTGAGGAGTAGCTCGAGTTCCCTGCGCCCGGGAGCCTAACGTGAGAATGCTGACATTTTGGAGGAGCGTTCTGACTACCACAGGGGGATGAGGGAGCTTTGCCAGGTGGAGGAGAGCGAAGGGCTGTGCTACAGAGGAGACGGGCACAGCAGGAGACCCAGTCTGTCCTGGGGCGGCTGGGGGTGGGTGTGGGCATGTCAGGGTGGGGCCTCAGCCTCCTCCTGTGCCTGTAGTCTCGGGAAGACTGAGGATCCATGCCCAGCTGTGAAGCAAGTAATGTGTCCAGGGCTGACCTCCTTGGGACTCACCTGGATGGGAGCAAGCATCAGTGGGGCTTCCTGGAGGAGGCAGCTCAGGCTCCACCTGCAGAGGGTGGAGGATTGGGCTGCAGGGGGAGACACTGGTCAGAGGAAGCTGTGCTGAGAAAAGCCACCGGGGAGCCTGTCAGGGTCCCTTCTTGGGGCCTCAGGTGCTGCAGGAAGAATGATTCCAGCTGCCGCGGTGCGGGGAGGGGCCGTTAGTGATGGGCTTTAAGGCCAAGCCAAGGGGACCAAAGGAGGCACGGAAGCAGGGGAGTCCCTGGGTACCGGACAGCTCCCCAGGCAGACTTGAGGGGGGCATAGGGCTTGGCAGCCCCAGAATCTCGAGCAGGTCCCAGCCTCTGCTCTGCCAGCTGCCTCTGCTGGGCAACCTCGGGCAGACCCTTCTTCCCACCTCTGGCTGCGAAGCCTGCCTCACGCCAGGGCCACTTCCCACAGGTGCCTCCCTCCCCACCAGAAAGGACCTAGAACCCCCACCCACGCCCCGTCTGTACTTGATAGGGAGGCCCCGGACAGCAACGGATTCACCTGCAGGCGCGGAAAGGAGCAAAGCCCAGTCGGGCTCCTCGCAGGCTGCAGAGGTTGGGGTGCCCCGGCCTCCTTCTTCCCGTGGAGAGGGCTCCAGGAGACGGAGGGGTCTGAGTGGACCACAAGACTTTTGTTTCATCCAGGAATGAGGAGGCGGCTGGGCCCCATGTCCGGGGAGAACATGTGAACGGAGGAGGCTCCTGGACCAACACCCTCATCCACCACGCCCACTCCCAGGGCGTAGGTCCCATCGTCCCCAGGTCCCCTGAGTGTGGAGAGACATACTGACATTTTCCAGCAGGATTGCACCAGGCACCATGGCAAAACAGGCAAGATAATTACGGGGGATAAGAGAAGCTAAAAATAGCCTCCTTCCCAGCCCAGACTCTTGGCAGGGAAGACGCCAGACGAACTTGCAGGAGCCCAGGACCTGGGCCCCCGGGCAGGGGCAGCCTGCAGCAGCACCCCTCACCAGGGAGCGTCCGGCAGCGCCAAGGCAGAAAGGAAGAGTCAGGGATGCCCAAGACACAGCAGCGACACCAGGGGTGGGGTGCGGGGAGGAGAGACAAGGGCATGGCTTCGGAGGATGAGTGGAAGCTCACAGGCACTGACCGTTCCCAGAAGAAGGGGTGGAGCAGCTTCGTGGGTTCCAGGGGGCCATCCAGAGGTAGGCAAAGGTGGTGCCAGAGATCACCTTGAGGGCCTCAGGCCTGGCCCTCCCTCCAAGCTGGAGGAATAGTTGGGAACCGTCTGCAGGGCTCCCCCACCCCTGGTAGACACCCTGGGCTGAGTAGCTGCTGCCTCTGGGGGCAGCCGTGGAGCATCCTGCAGCACCTGTAACTGGCCCCACGTCAAGGCTGTGTACTGGGTGGTGGCTCAGAGAAAGGACAGCGGCCGGACAGACCCTGCTCTTTCTGGCTGAGCCCCAGCTCCCAATGTGGCTCCTCCCAGCCTGACACTTCCCCTCAGGGTCAGAGCCAGGTGTCAGTGGGACCCAGCCATGGACATGGGAAAGGACTCAGGACCAGACAGTGGGGGAGGAGACAGGGCCAGGCACTGGGGGAGGGGATACCCACCAGCCCTGGTTCTGTCCAGGGCTGAGCTGAGAAGGAGGCTGAGCTCAGAGGTCACTGAGGCAGGGCCTGTGCCTGAACCCCAGGGCTCGGGGAAGAAGGTGGTCAGAGGGAGGACAGAGGTGGCAGCGGGAAACAGCAGTTGAGGCCAGGCCAGGGTGGGCACCAGGCTGGCTAGGCTGGGGGCAAGGGATGAGGGTGGGGGACCCGGGGAACCTGCCCAATCCTCCCCGGGAGCTTTGCTTTTAAGGGATTCTGGAGGGACCAGAGGGGGCAGGGGAGAGTGGGAAGGGGGCAGGGGAGAGTGGGAAGTGGGCAGAGGGAGAGGCAGGGCTGGGGGAAAGCGGGGACAGCAGCAGCCTGGGAGGGAGCTCCTCGCCCCAGCAGTGAGGCAGGGGAGGGCAGAGCCGGGGGGCCTGACGGTTGGAAATGTGGGCTTTACCCAGAGGTGGTGGCCGGCCCCAGAGGGGCGTGGGCCCAGGAGTTCCTCAGTCATCAATTTTAGCTTTTAAAGATGTTTTTATTCCAGGAGGGAGGTTTCCAGGAAACAAGCAAACAGAAAACAGACGCAAAGGTGCCCCTGTGGAATGTTGCGTAGGATGGAGCCCTGCACCGAGGACGGTGAGGAGGATGAGAGGAAGGGACCACCTGAAATTCCGGAGAATAGAGGTATCTGTCAGAAAGGAGCATGATCACAGTCCCCTGCCATGGAAAGAATTTCACCCTGGTGTAATTTTCTTTTCTTTTTTTTTTTAGACAGTCTCATTCCTGTTGCTCAGGCTGGAGTGCAATGGCGAGAACAGGGCTTACTGCAGGCTCAACTTCCCAGGCTGGGGTGATTCTCCTGCCTCAGCCTCCCAAGTAGTGTAGCTGGGACTACAGGCGCATGCCACTGTACCTGCTAATTTTATTTTGTATTTTTGTAGAGATGGGGTCTCGCCATGTTGCCCAGGCTGGTCTCAAACTCCTGGGCTCAAGTGATCCTCCGGCATCAGCCTCAGTCTCAAACAGTGCTGGGATTGCAGGCGTGAGCCACCACACCTGACCTTTTTATATATATTTATGTTTTGTAGAGACAGGGTCTCGCCATGTTGCCCAGGGTGGTCTCAAACTCCTGGCTTCAAGCCATCTCCCACCTCAGCCTCCCTAAGTGCTGGGATTGCAGGTGTAAGCCACTGTGCCCAGCTGGTGGCAATAAGTGAACACTGAATATTAACTTAGCCCCATGGTGACTTGGGAAGAGGCAGGGAGGGGAGGAAGTGCAGTCAGGGTAGGGGTCAGTGCAAGGCTGGCACACGCTAGCTGCTCCCATGGCAATTATAGAAATAGAGGAGCTTGGCCCAGCGGTCTTGTGGAGTGGGCAGACCCTTAGGAGATGGGGATGGGCAGGACCAGTACCCCCAGGAGGGCTGCTTTGGACTTTCTCAGTTGAAGTGCCCAGGATGTCAGTGTCTGCATCCAATGGAGGGTGGGCTGTGACCCAGAGAGAAGACCAAGGCTGGAGGGTGAGGGCACAAGGTCCTGGGGAGAGCCAACCCTGGTGTTCCAACACAAGTTCCCAGCACAGCTTCTGGGACGAGCACTCTGCAGCACCCGCGGTCTGGCTTCTGCCCCATCCTTGGACCAAGTTGCTCTCAGTAGGGTCCCCATGAGGTGGCCAGGATCAGTACTGGGTCATTTGTGGTCATTTGGGCCAGTATTGTAGTGGGTAAAAGAGAGACTGCCAACCTGGGCAGGCATAGCGATGCCCACTTAGGGCCACACAGAATGGAGACACAAGGACCCTCAAGGACGGGTCTGAGAAAGGACAGCTCACTGCCCGCTGCCCACCAAGGCCCCACAGCTCAGCCCAGGCACACACAGACAGACCGAGGAGGCTATCTTGTTCATGCTGGTAATTTTATGTCTCTCCTGGGCCTCAGTTTCCCCACCCATACCAGGGATGCCACTGCAGCCCCGAGGCCAATCCCAGAGAGTGGTGGTGGTCGAGGGAGGGCCAGGGAACCTGTCCTGTGGCTGCTGCATCTAGGCACCCCCAGAGCCGGGGCTGGGTGGGATGCTGGCCTCATTCCTGGAAGAAATGGGCTATTGTGTGTCACCTGCTACCTACAAAAGCAGGGTGCCAGCTGGGATCCCCACAGACGTGTGAGCCACCCTCAGCCACCCCTCCACCGAGGGATGGCCACCCCAAGACTCAGGTGCCCTTGTGGGAGGGACCTGGACTGCGAGCAGGGCCGCTGGGGCAGGCCCTGGACTGTGTCTGGGAGGAGTGCTGGGAGGAAGCTTTTCCATCCTGTCTGTGTCTGTAATTAGGGGTCAGGGTCACTGGGTTGCCAGGGCCAGGAAACAGTGACCGACTGGAAGCAGGGGCCATGTATGGCCAATGGGAGGCTCCATGGGTAGCCAGGGCTAGGCATCCGTGAGACTGGGAAGCAGATTGTTTCTGGATAGGATAGGAGGCAGGTTGCTTCTGGATAGGAGCCCTACCTTCACCCTAGGGCAGGCAAAGGAACAAAGGAACCAACTGCTCTCTGACCCTCAGCAGAACAGAGGGTGGCAAATTCAGTGGCCCCCTTCCCATCGCCCAAAACCAGGAAGAAACCTTTAGACAAGGAACCTTGTCTAAAAGGAGGTGGCCCAGAAGGTAGAGTAAGTGGAGGGCTTGGAGTCGGACACAGGAGGGTTCAACAATATCCTGTCAAAGTCGTCATTTCAAGCCTCTCCTGGGCACCAGGCATGGGGAGAGGGAGTCTGGCTGGTTCCATGGCAGTCATGGGAAGATTCCTTGCACCTCTCAAGCCTCAGTTTTCATATCTGAAACATGGGGCTGTGGATGGGGGCCCCAGCATAAGGGAGCCTTGTTGTAAGGGGTCCCCTGTCATGGGGGAGCCTGTTCGTATGGGGAACCTCAGCTGGTTCATATACGTGTGTCTTAGTCTGTTCTCTGCTGCTATAACAATACCACACACAAGATAATTTATAAAGAAAAGTTTCTTTGGCTCATGGTTCTGGAGGCTGAGAAGTCCAGCAGCATAGTGCCAGCATCTGGTGTGGCCCTGCTTGCTGTGATCTTCCACGGCAGAAAGCAGGAGGGCAAGAGAGTGCACACGAGACAGCTCACTTTTATAACAAAGCCACTCCCACGATAATTCACCACTCCTGAGATAGCAACATTAATCCATCCATGAGAGCAGAGCCCTCATGACCTAGTCTCACAGGTCCCACCTCTCAACACTGCCACAAGGCAATTATTAAATTCCAAAATGAGTTTTGGTGGTAGCTTTAAACTATAGCATTCCACCTAGGACCCCCAAAACTCCTGTTCTTCTCACATACAAAATGCACTCATTCCTTCCCAATAACCCCAAAGTCCTAATATATCCCCGCATCAACTCAAAAGTCCAAAGTCCCATCTTTGGACAGGATTCTTCTGGGAAGGGAGTGTGTGGACACAGGTGCTCAGCACTCCAACAGCACTGAAATAGCAGAGTCAGCACCTGCCCTCCCTGTCACCTCCCCCTCCCAACCCCACCACCTGGGGGTGGCTCTACGGGGAGGGTCTGCAAACACCCAGCCTGCATCCCCACAAAGAGCCACCCTCAGCCACCCCTCCACCGAGAGATGCTACCCCAAGACTCAGGTGCCCTTGTGGGAGGGACCTGGACTGGGAGCAGGGCCCCTGGGGCAGGCCCTGGAGTGTGTCTGTCCTCTGGAGGAGAGCATGGCTCTCTGGACCTCACAGACTTTATGGAGAAGGGCTGGGTGGGAGCAGAGCTGGGGTGGGGAGCCCAGGACCAGGCTGCATTGAGCCCCAGCATGCCCTCTAATGTCACCTGGCATGAGCCTCCTGATTCCGCCCTTGACCCTGGGACCTCAGCCCCACGGGAGCCAAGGCAGAAAGGGAAGGGCTCCTTGGCCTCTGGATGCCTGGCACTTCTCTCCATTGAACTTCCTCTTCCTCCTTATGAAGGGCCTTTCACCCCTTGTCCACCCTCTTCACTCCGTCCTCACCCAACAGCCACAAGAGTCATGCAGCTCTGACCTGTCTCACCTGCCCCCGCCTGTTCCTCCCCCAGCTCCACCGAGAGAGATAGAGACAGAGGGTCAAAGAACGGGAGAGCAGCTGGACACTTGCCGTTGGCATTTTGAGGGGTGCTCCATGGCTTCTAATTGGCCAAATTCTCTTCAGTGTTAAAATGATGTAAAATATAAAACATGTTATTTCTTGACAAAAATAATAATATTTCAGGTTTGATCCTTTTTTAAGTTTCTTTTTTTTTTTTTTTTTTTTTTTGAGACGGAGTCTCGCTCTGTCGCCCAGGCTGGAGTGCAGTGGCCGGATCTCTGCTCACTGCAAGCTCCACCTCCCGGGTTCACGCCATTCTCCTGCCTCAGCCTCCCGAGTAGCTGGGACTACAGGGGCCTGCCACCTCGCCCGGCTAGTTTTTTGTATTTTTTAGTAGAGACGGGGTTTCACCGTGTTAGCCAGGATGGTCTCAATCTCCTGACCTCGTGATCCGCCTGCCTCGGCCTCCCAAAGTGCTGGGATTACATGCTTGAGCCACCGCGCCCGGCCGATTCTTTTTTAAGTTTCTATACTAACTTGAATTCTTCCTGGAGTTAAAAGACCCTTGCCAACTAGAAAAGAGTCCTGCCACCTGGGAGGTTGGGAACAGTCCACACGACTGTGGCACCCTCACTTCCGACACCAACTATAGAAACCCAGGCTCCTGACAGCCGCCTCAGATGTGATGATTCTCTAGGAGGGCCCCAGCACCCCTGAAAGCCATTATACCCGTGACTATGGATTCCTACAGGGAAAAGATGTAAATTAAAATCAGCCTGGCGGGAGGATCACTGGAGCCCAGGAGTTCAAGACTACATTGGGAAACATAGCAAGACACCATCTCAGAAAGAAAAGAGAAGAGAAGGGAAGGGAAGGGAAGGGAAGGGAAGGGAAGGGAAGGAGGGAAGGGAGGGGAAGGGAAGGGAGGGAGGGAGGGGGGAGGGGAGGGGAGGGGAGGGGAGGGGAGGGGAGGGGAGGGAAGAAAAGGGAGAGGAGGGTGGGGAAGGGAAGGGAGAGGAGGGTGAGGAAGGGAAGGAGGGGAGGGTGGGGAAGGGAGGGGAGGGGAGGAGAGGGGAGGGGAGGGAAGAAGTTAGCCAGTTGTGGTGGTGCACACCTGTGTTCCCAGCTACTTGCAAGGCTGATGTGGGTGGATGGCATGAACTGGGAGGTCGAGGCTGCAGTGAGCTGTGACTGTGGCCCTGTACTGCAGCCTGAGTGACAGAGAGACACCCTGTCTCAAAAACTATAAAAAATAAAACCAGAACGGAAAGAGGTGCCTGGGACAGAGCCCAGGAGGGTCCAGACACAGAGCTCTCGGTTGTCCTCCCCTGGGGTCGTGGACAATGTTAGGCCCCACCCCTCCCTTAGTGATGTGGGTCAGGGCACACGGAGCATCGACATTCAGGGTAGCTCCTGCCCTGGGGTCTGTCACATGGTCCTTGTTGGCGCCCACATGGCTGAGCCGTCTCCATCCCTTCTGGAGGCAGAGCTGATGCCACATAGCCCAAAGCCTCCACTGAAGTCACATGAGACCATAGGTGTGGCCCAAGGCCCCAGGTGGACAAGGACATTCTTACCAGGTCGGACGTTCGGGGCCTAGTGATGACCTCCCAGGAGCCCAGGGCAGAGGCCACGCCATCTTTGGCCGAGGTCACACTCTTCACACACACCACCCTAAACAATTTTCAGTGTGGCTTCTCTCCACTGGTTGTCCACCTAGATCCTTCCTCCCTCCTTCCCATACGCATCCAGGCTTTAGGCACTGGGCAGGGGCAAAGGTACCATGGGTGGCCATGGCGTTCCTGGGCTCAGCTTTACAATCGTGGCATGCCCCTCGCTGTCTCTTGTCCCTTCTGGGTAGCAGTCCGGAGTGTCAAGAAACACAGAAGGTCTGGAATGAACAGGTGCCGCCCAGCCACCAGCTGCATGCTTCCCTGAGCGGAGACTGTGGGAGGCCCCCACATTTGCAGGGCCTCTGTTACAGCACCCTTGCCTTACACTGACTCACACGCTCTCCCAAGCCCGTCGCTTTCCCTGCAACCCCCAGTGGCACCACCAGCCCTCAGCAGTGACCCTGCTGGTACTGGGAGACTTAATCTCAGTTGAGCCTTGAAGGGCAACAGAGGGGCCCGGGTGTCTGCCCTCTCCCCCTTGCACCAGCTCCTTGAGGCTGGCGGGATTTTATGGAAAGGCACCTGCCCCTATGGGGACCTGACATGGGCTCCCTGGCTCAGAGGCCTCCCACCAAACTGGGTCTGTGGGAAGAACATCTAGGGGCTTCCTGGGTGCTCCTACCCCCAGACTCAATTCTTCTCCCCAAACTGAGGCAAGCACAGAACTTCTCTGTGCCTCAGTTTCCCCATGCTACAGTGAGGGGGTGGGACTGAGTGGTCTATGATACCTGGATGGGCAGGAGCAGTGAGGGGTAGAGAGGGGCTGATGGCAGGGAACACCCTGTTCCGGGACCTGGTCTTCAGGCTGACAGACATCTGCACAGGGTCTGGGCCCCTCCGCTCCCAACCACCCACCTGCTCCAGCCTCCGGCCTCTTTTCTTGGGAACAGAGTGACACAGCTGAACCTCCAATTAACTGAAGGGTTCTGATAGTCTGTTCCACAATTACAGGGAGTAACTTTTTACTAAAAGGGAAAAGCATCAACAGCTTCCAGCTTTTCATGTGAGAAGTAGTACTTCCAAGACAAATGACTGCTTTCAGGCAGCACGGTGGTGCCCAGCTTCCTGTTCCTGCCAATTTCCTCTCCCGTTCTTCCAGCAGCTTTGTTATTTAAAAGAAATGCAAGGGAAGAATGGGGCGGAGGCGGCCCTTTCACCGTCGAGAGCCCTGCTCAGCGCCCTGCGCCACGGGTGACGCCATTTCCTGGCAGCAGGTGGCTCTCTCTGCTTAGTCTCCTCTTGTTTCCTGCTCTCCCCGGGCCCCTCACTGCTGCAGGAGCCAGCCGTGAGCTCAGTGCCAGGACCCCGCAGGTGCAATGCACCCCGCCCCCCAGTGGGGCTGAGCGGGCACCACCCACCAGCTGCCCCCACAGCTTGGCCCAGGATCCCCAGGAGCAGAGCAACCCCACCAGAGGGGAGGGAAGCTTCCAGCAGCAGATGACCATGAAGGTTGTGAGGGTCAACCTGGCCGGGGTACTGTTCTCAGTCACTCAATCAAATCTTAGCAGAGGTGTTGCCCCGAAGGTCTGTCATAGGTGCTTTCAGGAAGAGCATCCTTGGGAACCTGGGTGGCCTGGTTCAGTCCCTTGAAAGGCCGTAAGAGCAGAGCTGAGGCTTCCCTGATGGAGAAGACATTCAACCGGCAGGTGCCTGCCTCAGCCTGTTCCCCAAGGTTCTGGCCTGCCCTGTAGATTTTGGACTGACTCAGCAGCCCCTACGTTGAGTAAAACAATTCCTTACAATGAATTCGCTGTCTCCTGTTAGTCCTGCTTCTCATTGAACACTGATGGGCAGGGGCTGATCCCTACCCCAGGCCATCTCTTCCTTCCCCTCAGAATCCAGTGTCCCCACAAAGGCAGCAGAGGCTGACCTCCCACAGCCCCTTGGAATCCAGTGTCCCCCCAAAGGCAGGGGAGGCAGATGTCCCGCAGCCCCTCGGAATCCAGTGTCCCCACAAAGGCAGGGGAAGCTGACCTCCCACAGGCCCTCGGAATCCAGTGTCCCCCCAAAGGCAGGGGAGGCTGATGTCCTGCAGCCCCTCAGAATCCAGTGTTGTCCCCACAGAGGCGGGGGAAGCTGACCTCCCACAGCCCCTCGGAATCCAGTGTCCCCCCCAAAGGCAGCAGAGGCTGATGTCCTGCAGGGCATCAAGTTACCCTTGTTTCCAAGTTCTTCAGCACATGTGCTGTGAGGATAGCATGCCCTGTTTTGCAGATGAGGAAACTGAGGCTCAGAGAGACCAAGTTCATGATCTGGCAACCAGGAATGGCCGGGGTCCCCTCCCAGCTGGGGTCTGTACTGACTAGGTCCCCAGGGCTCCAGAGCCTGAGACAGCCGTGTGGGCCGAGCCCTAGTTGTAGTCCCCCCCCATGCACCCAGCTGTACACCCCACATGCCAGTAGGACTTACAGAGGGGCAGGCCTCAGCTCAGCATGAATAGGGCTCCCCCAGTCAGCAGTCACCCTCACTGATGGTCACCCCAGGCCTGGAGGCAGGGCTGAGCTAGGCCTAGTGGGCTGCAGTGTGGAGCCTGAAGGTGCTTCCCCCTGAGGATCCAGGACCCTGATGGAGGCTGCCCTGTTGGTGCTCCCCCGAACCCCTGGAGACCTCGCACTACACCCATGGGGCCTTCAGGGTCACCCACTGGGCCGGAGGACCTGTGTCTGCAGCTCCACTCCTGCCCAGCCCAAGCACGCAGAAGAAGCAACATGAACACTCCAAGAAGTTTCAGTGTTTTATTAACAAAATCTTACAAAAAGAGTCTGTCTTTGGGGTAAGGTATACAGGGCCTGGACGGACATTTAAGGCCTGGTCTGTGCGGGGGTAAGGGGCAGGGGTCGGCCACAGCCTCATGAGGTTTCCAGGGTCTTCACAGGCTCCAGGGCTTCCCCAAAGCCTGTGCCAGCCTGTGAGGATCGGTTATGGCTTATGTGCAAAAATAAAATCTGTGGGGCTGGCAGGGTGTGGGCTAAAGATTTGTCAGAGTGGTCTGTAGGGCTGGTCCCCCAGTGGACAAGGCAGAAAGATGAACCCTGAGCCAGCGCCTGCTCAGGCTGCAGACGCTAGTAGCCCACCAGCACCAGGGTTCTGGTGTCGGGGCAGGGCAGAGTGCCTGGAGGAGCCCCAGGAGCAAAGGCTTCTGGGATCTCCTTCCTGCAGCTGGGCTCAGGGCTGCTGGGCAGGAGTAGGAGCTGTGGCCCCAGCCTTGGGGCTCATGAAAGCCTCTGGCAGAGAGGATGGCCTGGCAGCGGGCGGGGTTTCCCTGCTGGGAGGGAGGCAGGGCCCGACTCCTGCTGCAGTGGCTCTGGGGGCAGGCAGCTGGTGGCCAGCGGGGCGGGCTTCGTGGCAGGCCCTGGCCCTCACGCTGGCGCTTAGGGCTAAGCTGGGGCTCCTGCCCTCTGCCGCAGCTGACTCCTCTCTGTAGCACCCCTCTGGGCTGTCCCGGGACTTCGCCTCCCACGCAGGCAGCCTGCAAGGTGAGGGGTGTGTGATGCCCAGCACAGCAGCAAAGACTTT